GACCTCCTCCGCACCCTAGGCCCGCCCCCTCCTTTGCCTTCGGCCAACCACGCAAACTAAAGCGCCATGACCCCGCCCCACCACTCAGGCCCCCTCCAGCACTTAGCCCCGCCTTCCTTTTTCTGGCCATTTCCCCGCCCTCACCCGGTCCCCTTGGCGACTCAGACTTGGCCTGGGCTCCTAGCACCGCCTCCGAGCCCAGCCTGTCGGGCTCACACCTCCCCCAGTGATTTAGAGCCCCCTTCCCCACCCTCAGCCTTGTCTCTGTTCTCTCCCCTTTCAACAAGCGACTTCGGACCCAGCCCTCGTTCCCCTCTGGCCTCGCGCTCTCTACTTCGAGCCCCAGCCCCGCCCCCTGAGGCCCCTCCCCACACGCGTCGGGAGCCTGACCCCTCCCCCTCCGTTACACCTGCTGGCGTGGGTCTAGCTGCAGCCCCACACGCTAATACAGCCCCAGGTCTTAACTCTGCTAGAGTTCTAGGCCGCTCAGGCATCCTGATCCCACCCTTAACGGGATCGGCCTCCTTTTCCAAACCTTCCGGCGCCTCACCAGGTGCCCAGCCTGACCTCACTCCCCGAGGTTCCAGTTCTGCCCCTCGCCCCCACCGCGCCCCTTTCCCCACCACCCTCAATTTCCTCCTCTCCCTAAAGCACGGAGTTGAGTGGGCTCCAGGGACGAGAGAATACAGCCTGGAGATCCAGACAAACCCCTCCTGCCGCCCCATCCCCATCAAGGCAGGGAAACTTCAGTCCCCTCCCAGCAGCGTCTTCAGGAATTCAGGGAGGCCTGCGGGAGGGGGAGATGTTATCAGGAGGGTGGGAAGAGAAAGGCCCCTTCCTCCCGCCTCTTCCGCCTCTGAAAGGCCCGCCAAGCACAGCACCCTGTCCTGCCCCGCCAGAAACACAGTCCAAAGGTTAGCGGAAGCACTGCGTTTAATAGACAGGCCCTTCGGAAGTCACTATTAGCCAAGCCCCAGATGTAAGCTCCTGGAGGCGGGAGATTCGGCCGGTAACTGCGGCTGGCCCCTTTAGACCCCACCTGGAGGAACTGGAGGCCTCACCCATCGTGGAGTCCGCTCCAAATTCTGACCACTGTCCCCATCCCACCTGGCTCACTGACCCTGGCTCCTCCCCCCCTTACATGTGACCCTCTGCTGGCTGGAGTGTGGCAGAAGCGGAGCAGAGGAGCAGAGGAGAGCGGCGGCGGGAGGTTAGTGCAGAGCGCGGTGGCCGCAGTCCTGTGGGCGCGGTCAGCGGGCGGCCCCGGGTGGTGGGGCGGCCGCCACCACCTTGCAGAAACGCACCCTCTGGAAGTCAGTGATCTCCGCCGTCTCCTGGCCCTCCGGGCCCGCTTCTGGAGAAAGAAGGGGCAGTGAGCGGAGGGGGACAACCTCTCCACCTCCCCCCAAGTCCTCGCACACCCTCTTCCGTCTAGCCACGCCCCCAGCCCGGTCCTGCCTGCCTGCCCCAGGCTAAGCGGTTTACCCGACCTCAGTCCCCTTTATTCCTCAGGCCTCAGACCCCTTTATTCCTCAAGAAGCGTAGGAAGCCGCTTACATCCCCAGCATAAACCGTGCTTACAACCGAGGGGGCACTGGTGTGGCGAGACCAGGGAACCCGGCCACCACATGGCCAAAGAGCCATGCGTCTCCTCACCATCTCACCTCTGTCCTCTCCCATTCCAGCCCCTCTAGGGAGCCCTTCCTCACCCCTGAATCCACTAAGCAGCCCGTGCTTTACCTCTCTGCCCCCAGGCCCCGACGCCACCCTAGGGGGAGAGAAAGTGGTCCCTGCTTCCCGACCTGGCCTCTACCAAGTGAAGAGGAGGAGTTGGCCTCCTGTTATCCCAGTGGGGGGCCCAAACTTTTAAATGGGGTCTACATTTCTATTCTAATTTACCCCACAATCCTGACTCCTGCTCACCTCCATTCTTTCTTTTTAACCCAGTTCAAATTTCTACCCACCCTTAGCGGCTCCCCTTCACCTGGCCCCCTCTTTGCAACCGCCCCCCAGGCCACTGGAAGCAAGAACCCATTCTCTCCCACCTCCGCGAGTGGAGTCCATCAACATTCTGTTCCTATTTGCTTGGCTCCTAAAGCTCCCACGCCTGGGCTCCACCCAGGGGCCAGGTTCAGTCCCCCTCATGGCATCCTCTCAAGCTAGCCAGGCATCTCTGCCCCACCACTGCATGTGGCCACGGAGTGGCGGGGGGGGCCCCCCCCCCTCCACGATGGCCTACTGGCCCCAAGCCCACCTCTCCCTCAGCCCCATGAGAAGGAAGAGGCCACCCCCCCACAAGCGCCGTCCCACCTGCAGTTGCCTCAGACCCCTCCTCTTCAGCTTTCTGGGTTCCTGGAAGGCTTGGCCCACTCTCCAGGGGGGCAGGGACTGGCTGGTCACCTCCTGAGGATGGGGAGGCCCAGTCATGCCCCCTCCCGTCCAAACACCTTTCTCCCAGAGAAGGCCCCAGGGGAGTGAGGACACACTTGGGGGAGGGTCATTTGAGGATGCGCACTCTTTATTGGGGAGGGGGCCTCTGAATGGCCCGGGCAGGCTCTGGGAGTGGGCTTTCCAGCGACAGGGACCGGACAGTGCAGGGAGCATGGACTGCCCTCCCAGCCACCAGGGCTGGGGGTACCTGGGACCTAGGGCCCAACCCTCGAGGACCCCGTGCCAGCCGCGCCGCGAGCACACACACAGGCAGCCAGCTTCATGCATTCCCGAAAGGCCAGGCCTCACCCGGAGAGAGGGCGTCAGCCGGGTGGGCAGTCCGGGGAGAATTCAGCTCCATCTCTTCACCCCAGTCGGACACAGGCTGGTGGCCGCTGGGAGGCGAGAAGGGGCTAGAAGGCGCTGCAGAGGCCTGGGGGAGTGGCGAGGGCTCCTCTGGCTGGCTGGGTGTTTCGTCGTCGGCTTGCTCACTGGTAGGGTGCCCAGTGGGCTCGGCCCCTGGGTGTTGGTGGTCTTGGGCTGGTCCTTCCTCCTCTTCCTCCTCGATAGCATCCTCTCCCTCCTCATCCTCTTCGTCCTCACTCACGTCCTCGCTCACGTCCTCCCATTCCTCGTCCTCCTCCCCGTCGATGTCCTCCCCATCGACGTCCTCCCCCTCGTCCTCTTCCCCCTCATCTTCAGGAGGCCGGTGGGCAGGCGCTGGGGGCTCAGGTGTCTGTGGGAACACAGGGACATCAGGGGAGGGTACGGCTTGAATGCTACCACACAGGGCTGACAGGCCTGCCTCACCTGCAGAGGTGGCTCCTCGGGAGGAGCAGGCTGGGGGACCTCGGGGGCTGGGGATGCTGTCTCTTCCTTCATCTCCCAGCGGTCATCATGGTTGCTGGAGGGCACAAAGGAGAGGGGTGAGGCAGGTGAGGTGAGCAGAAGGGGCCTCCTGCTTCCCGCCCCTCCCCGGGGGGAACTGCCCAGAGGAGCCGGCATGCTGGAGCCTGGGGAGGGTGTGGTGGACATGTGTCCCCAGGTGTGAGGAACAGAGACAGAAGAGAGGCCAAGAGGAGCAAGAAATGGGGGAGCGATGAAGGTAAGGCCGAGACTTGTACCCCAACTCCCAGGAGTGAGCACCTGAGATGAGACAGGGCCACAGGACAGAGGGAGGGTTGGACCGGCACATGCACGGCCAAGCACGTGCCCCAGGCAGACCACAGCACCCTGCAGGGGGCATGACCGAGGCAGGGGAAGGGGTGCCCCACCTGTAGGCACGGGGGGCTGCCTTGGCCTGGGGTCGGCTGCTCTTCCTCTTCCTGCGGCTGCTGACCTCAGCTTTGTGCTGGGACAGGAACTCCCCAAAAGTAGGGGGTTTGGGGGGCTTGGGGGGCCGGGCCCAGGCCTGCTCATCTGCAACAGAACCCGGGAGGAAGGAGGAGGGGCATGGCACAGCCTACCTCCTCACCTCAGGCGCAACGCCCTCGCCCACCCAGGGACATCCACTCACCGTAGCGGGGGGACGGTTCGTTGAATGGTTCATGGACGTGGGTTGAGCCATCCTTGAACCTGGGAGAAGAGAAATGGTTGGGAAAGCGGCCTGGGGGAAAAGGAGAAAAGGAACAGGAAGAGAATGGGGGGTGATGGGGGCCAGGGCCATCAGAGCAGAGCAGGACAGACGGTCAACCAGAAGGGGGTCACTGACGAGGAGAGAGACATGATCGAGTGACAGAAGCGAGGTAAATTCAACACTGTGGTCACACACACACAAAGAGGGGCCTTCTGAATTGGATTAGCCCCCAAAGAGATGGGGGGGGTCACCACAGACCTGTGGCCAAAGTACAAGACCCCCGGCCCCCAGTCCAGCCTCATTCTCTATCACCCTCTGTCCCCTCCAGCTTAGCAGGGCCCCCTACCACACCCAGCTCCGGCCTCAGGGCCCTTGCACCTGCTGTTCCTAGAACAGTCTCCCCCAGTCCTTTGCTCCCTGAGCTCCTTCAGGCCTCGGCCTTGAGGCCCTCCTGAACCCCCATCCAGAACGGCCACACGTCATCACGTCCACTAGCCAAGTCTGCTTCATTCTTGCTCGGGACCACCTTTCCCACTCGGCTACAACCTCCGTAACACTGGGAAGATTTCGCCCACTGCTGTGTCCCCATCGCCTCGAGCCTTCCATGACTCAACAATACTTGCTGATGTAACTAACACATACATGCGTTAATGACTCCTTGCGACTGCCTCTGAGACGCAATGACTTTCTCAACGCTGGGAACCTCTCCCCAAGAGCTCGCCTGCAGTATCTGTGTAAAATATTTCTCACACTTGGCTTACAAGCAAAGAAAATAAAAACGGATGCCCACCATCAGGCAGGCAAAATCCTTGGTTAGCAGAGTCAAGGGTAAAGGTTGCAGGTGTCTGAAAACTTTTAACAGAGCAAAGAACAGGGATGGAGTAAAACCTAAAGTTGCCGAACTTCAAAGTCTGCCATTGGTCAGCTCTTCTAGAACCTTCTGCATCTTGGCTATGGAAGCTGGATCTCATGACAATGATGCAATGACACCTTTGAGAGTGACTAACTGGACGCTTCCTGGGACCCAAAAGGGGACAGAGTAAGCCTTGAGGAAGACAAAGACGCTGAGGGGTTAGCAGGTGGCGGCGTGCGTAAGGCAGCTGAATCCGACATGGCCAGCAGTATGACTCTAGTCCCGGACCAGGCAATCTGGAAAACACGTCAGGGCTGGGGCTGGCAGGTGGCATGGTGGTGAAGGGCGCTGGGCTGCCACATGGCCAACTACAATTCGAGTCTCAAACTTGGCAGCTTGCTTTCTCACTTTCCCTCTTCTCTCTCTCTGTCTCTATCTGATCAAATTGAAAAATGATCATAACAAATAAAATTAAATAATTAAAAATAAATACATCAGGGACAGACTAGCAGATGGCATAACGGTTATGTGGCTGGACTCCCACAAGGCCAAACACGTTTCGAGTCCTGGACCTAGCAGCTTATAGCTCACACAGGGTACGTGTGCGCTTATAGCTCACACAGGGTACGTGTGCATTTGCGCCCAAAAATCCTAACAGGAGAATGGAGGAACAGGGATTGCACCGTGGCAATCCCCCCAGGAGGTAATTTCTCGCTGTCTGCCTCTCTGGAGAGCACACACACCCTATAGTAAGAATCTCGACCAAAAGAAGAAAAACACACCAGGTGGAGCCAACAGATGGCATGGTGATTAAAGTCCTGCACTCCCACATGGCCTACTGCAGTTCGAGACCTGGGCCTGGCAGCTTAAAATTCATACCAGGCATGTGTGCATATGTGCCCAAAATCGCAAAGGAATAGAGGAGAAGGGAATGTGGTGTAGCCATCCCCTCTGGGGGGTAATTGCTCACTTTCAGTGTCTCTCCGGTGAGCACACACAGAAAGCAAAACAAAACAAACTAAAAAAAAGCACCAGGCATGCGCATGCATGCATGGCCAAAATCGCAAAATCCCAAAAGGAGAAATGGAGAAGGGACCGCGGTGTGACCATCGCCCCATGGGGCCTCGATGAGCACCCAAGCTCTCTGGCAAAATGAGAAAGAGAGCAAGAGCAGCTCGGGGAGTGGGGCTGGTGGGGACAGGTCAGAGCACAGGCAGGACAGGCCACTTACTGCCGGTGGCCGAGGCTGGCGCAGCGCGATAAAAGGCGACGCTGTGAGGCTGATCCGCAAGGGCAGGTGCTGGGTTGCTGCTGAGACCTCCCTGAATTACACCGGGCACTGCGTGCCCAAGATCCAGGGTTGGCTGAGGCTGGGGGGATCATGGTGCAGAGACTGTCGGGGGTGCTCTCTCTCGCTCACGGAATAAACCAACCCGCTTTCATCACTGCTAGCAGTTCTTCACATCCTCCTTGCCTCAAACGCACAGCCCCACTCCAGCCACTGGCCACTGCTGTCCACTCACGAGAGTGGGCAGAGTTCATCCCTGTCCCAGCGGGGGTGCTGGGCCTGCTGCCTAACTGAACGAGGAGGTGGATCTGCCAGCCTGGCCCTCCCGGGCAGCTGCTGCCCTCAGCCTGGACTCCGGAAAGAACACTCAGGGAGCAGGCGAGGCCCAGCTGCAGTGAGGAGCCACGCCCCACAGCACCCACATGTAGCACCCCGCTCCTCTGCCCGGTCAACACGGGGAAGACATGCGTTTATGGGGCGCTGAGCTTTGGTGGCGGTTGCGCGGCACGGCCACAGCAGTCCCTCACCGCCGCACCAGGGAGGAACCCCAGAGGCCAAGTCAGGGACAAGGTTACGGAGCCAAACGGGGGCGGGCGGGAAGGAGACTCACATCCCGTCGGTTTTCTCAGCATCCCATTCCCGCCGCCACTGGCCGGTGGGCTTGCGGTGTCTCTGCAGCCGCTCCTGGTCGATCCTCTCCCTCTCCTGCTTCCAGCGCAGGTACTCCGACCGCTCCCGGCCCGTCATGGACAGCGTCATGTCTCCAGCACCGCCCAGGCCGGCCCGGCGGCCCTGCCCACAGCCGACAGGCATCAGCGCCCAGGTCCCCACCGCCCCGTCCGCCTCCCTGTGCCTTCTACTCTGAGACGGAGCCACCTGCCCAAAGTCACACCGAGAGGAGGTGACAGCAGAAACTAGAACAGGTCAGCCCAAGTGGCACCTCCTCAGAGAGCCTCTATCTTCTGCCCCTGGCCCTGCGGAACTGTCCTCCCTGACACCTGGCATTGGCACTGCCTGATGGCGTACCCCAGCGTCATTGACTCGGCTCCCATGGGAAGGCAGGCGCTCTGCCGTGTGACTCAGCACAGCATCTACAGCCAGGCCCGGCTCGGAGTAGGTGCCCAGTAAACACCCACAGTGGTCCCAAAAGGGAACCCACGAAGCACACCACAAAGCTGTTACCAACTAGGGACCAGCAGTTAGTGTAATGGCTATGTCGCTGGACTCCCACGTAGTCGACTGCGGTTCAAGTCCCAGACCCGGTGGCTTAAACTCATGCCGGACGCGTGTGCGTGCGTGCCCAAGATCCCGAGAGAATGGAGGAGAAGGGATTGCAGCGTGGCCATCCCCCCTGGGGGGTGATTTCTCGCTTTCTGTCTCTCTGTCTCTCTCTGTCAGGCAAGCGCACGCGCCCTATAGCAAAAACCTCTCCCCCCAAAAAAAAAAAAGCTGTTAACAACTACATCAGTGTGGCAGGGGCTGAAAAACGACAATGTGGGGTCCAGGGAGGGCAGGGACACCGCGTCCTCCTGTCCTCAGCTGTATCCCCACCACACAGCCCGCCACGTGCTGGTGCACACAGTGGCCCGGCTGTGGTGGAGCAGGTGGGGGCACACTGCTGGGCAGTGCTAGACCACACAGGAGGCCCAGGGTCAGATCTCAGGTCGACCCAAACATGCTGGGTGCCCACACTCGCCAGTGAAGTAGACTGGCCAGAGTGGGGATCGCAAGGTCGCAGGACTGTCAAGGGTCCCTGTCTCTCTCGTGGAAAACATAAACCTTAAATATGTATGAGAAGAACGAGGAGACCAGCCCGGCAGGAAACAAGATGGACCACAAACCCTCAGCAACAAAACCCCGCAATGGGGCCAGCTCCATGGCAGCAGTCACGCCACCCAAGGGAGGCTGAAACCCACACGGTGACCGCGGTTTAGACTCCCAGCCCAATTGGCCCGAAACACGCTGGGCTGCACACAGGTGCCCGGGATCTGACAGGCTGGCACGTGGAAGGAGAGGAGAGCCACACGACCAGACCCTGCACAGGGTGCTCCTCCCGCCCCTTCTCTCTCGTGTGTGCACACACTCTATCACAAATAAGAAAAAAAGGAGTTTTTTTTAAAAAAAAAAAAACAACCACCCTGTGAGGGAGGCAGGGCAAATGGCTGGTCTGTCCTGTGCCCCCCTGGCCCAAGTCACAGCTCGAGCTCAGACCCCATCAGGCCACTCAGCCTGGGGCCGGCCTGCCGGCACCCACCTGCCGCTCCTGCTCGAGGCCACAGAGCGTTCAAAGTCGGGGCCTCCCCAGTTGCGTCCATGCCGGCGACTGCCCTCCCTGCGGTCCCGCTCAGGTTCCTCCAGGGGCCCGCCGCGTCGCCGGGGGTCGTCCAGGAAGTTGCGCACTGGGTTCGGCTCCAGCAGCCCTTCCTGTCGGGGCGGGGGCTGAGGTGTCAGGGTGCCAGCAGGTCAGCAGTGCTCAGGCCCGCCCGGGGACCGCAGCACTGACCCGCTGGTTGCGCTCGTATTCGGCGATCTTCTCCATCTCCTCATTCATCTTCTCGATGTTCTGCCGGCGCCGCTCCTCCCACTCCTGCAGGTGGGACAGAAAAGCGGACAGCCAGCCTGAGATGGCCCTCCTCAAAGCCGCTGCCAGGGCGGGTGCCTGACGAGTGCCTGGAACGTGCCCTCGGCGAGGCCCCAGGCCAGCGACCTGGTGAGGGCGGCTCAGCGGGCCCACACGGTGCGAGCAACAGGGTACACGCTCAACCTGGGTGTCTGCGAGTGCTACCTACGAGGCAAGGGCTGTGACCAACCTCCAATAAAAACTCTGGGCATTGGGAACCAGCAGTTCGCGTAATGGTTATGTCGCTGGACTCCCACGTAGTCGACCGCAGTTCGCGTCCCGGACCCGGTGGCTTAAAACTCACGCCGGGTGCGTGTGCGTGCGTGCCCAAGATCCCGAGAGGAGAATGGGGGAGAAGGGATTGCGGTGTGACCATCCCCCCTGGGGGGTGATTTCTCACTTTCTGTCTCTCTGTCTCTCTCTGTCTGTCTGGCGAGTGCACGTGCCCTATAGCGAAAATCTCTAAAAAAAACAAAACAAAACAAAACAAAAAACCCTGGGCACCACGCCACGGCGCAGTGGCAAACGCAGGGCTCTGCGAGGCTGACCCACGCTGGGAGGTTCTGGATTCACACTTGAAGCCCTCCGTGAGTACACAGGACATGCACGTGCCCATGACCTGGAGCTCACTGAGGCTGGGCTGGACGGCGGGGTCAAGACTGGCCCGGCCACTATGGCGCAGCCCAGCCCCTAACACGGCCGGCAGCACGCCAGACTGCAGAGCTGGAAGCCACACGCCGATCTGCTGTGCCACCAGGGCTCACCATGGCTGTTGGTTCCTGGTGGAGTCCTGGCCCCGTCGGCCTGAAAACACTCCCAATGCACAGGTATGTGCATGGCTGGCAACTGCAGGAGGGGACTGGCATGACTGAGCCCTGGGAAGGGCACTTCTCTCTCTCTCTCCCTCTCTCTCTCTCTCTCTCTCTCTCTCATCTATCTTTCTGGTGAGTGCACGTGCCCTGTAAAAATTTAAAAAATAATCATAAGTAAAATTAAATAAATAATTCTTTGAAAAGAAAATGAAAGGTCACTGGTCTAAAGAATATCTAAAAACAGCAGGGGCAATTCTATTAGGTTTCAAGGCCAGAGAACCATTTAGTGTAATGGCTATGTCGCTGGACCCCCATGTAGTCAACCGCGGTTCGAGTCCCAGACCGGATGGCTTAAACTCACGCCGGGCACGTGTGCATGTGTGCCCAAGATCCCAAGAGGAGGATGAAGAAGGGATTGCAGTGTGGCCATTCCCCCGGAGGGTGATTTCTTGCTTTCTGTCTGTCTCTCTGTCTGGCGAGCGCATGCGCCCTATAGCAAAAACCTCTCAAAAAAAAAATAAATAAATAAAAACCTCACAGGGGCAGTGGGGATGGGGGCAGCAGGTGGTGTCATGGTTAAGGGCATGAGACTCCCACTCGCAGTTGGATCTCCCACTCGCAGTTGGAGGCCCAGACATGGTGGCTTGCTTTCTCACTTTCCCTCTCATTCTCTTACTCGCTCTGTTCCTCTCTGGTCAAAGTAAAAGAGGAAAATAAAGTTAAATAAAAAATAATTCTTTTTTTGGGGGGGGAGGGGGGTTTGCTATAGGGCGCTTGTGCTCGCCAGAAAGAGAGAGACAAAGCGAGAAATCACCCCCCAGGGGGGTTGGCG